CTCCATATATAACAACCACATTTGCTTTGCTTGACATGAAAGCTGGGGTCAAAATCCCTGTGTCATCCAACATATCCAGGATGTTACCCGTGAAATGCAGATGGCATTCAACTTTTTCAGTGAATTCTGAACAGATTCCATTCTGGAAAAGCATTGGTTCAATGATCTGCAAGAAACGTTCTCCAGCTTCATTATTTGGTGTCATGAGCCCGACCCATTTCCATCCGAAATGCAGAAGTAACTGGATAATTCCCTTGAACTGAAGATCTTCATTGGGGACCATGCGGTAGAAGAAACCACATTTGATTTGATCATTTGTGGCTGGTTCAAATGAACCATATGAAATCTGAAAAAGGAAAAAGTCAAACCTTTCCATGTGAAAACAAGAATTCTAAACACACTCATTTATCTGAATATACATCCTGTATATCCCATATTTACTAATCTTCGCCATGGCGAACCCCCATTTACATAGAAAATATATTGCTCAAAAACCAAACAAACAATATTGCTCATTTAATTTTGTAGATATTAATTCCTATTATTATGGGAGTCATCACAGCTGCATACTTGTACACACAGATTCTCTCCTTTCACTGGCTTCAACAATACTCTAAAGTGGACCATGAGAAAGATAAGCAATTGATCAGGTTCTTAGTGTCTATAATCTTTAAAACACTTGTAGAGAGAGGTTGATGGCATTTGTACTAAGAACTCTCCTGGATCTCCTGGAAATCCTGAATATTTCCTGGCCATTAAGCATTTTATCATTATGTGACCACAGTAAACCATATCCTATAAAAGTAAAATACCAGCAAATATTAAGGCAACTAATACGAAGTCTAGCAATGCAGCAGAAGAGCACCATATTGGTAACACTATATACCTCCCCAAATGCCTCAAAAATAACAAGAAATTTGTTTTCGATTAGCCTCAGAAAATGGACAGTACTAAACATCATCATACGTATACAGGGAGGGGATCTTATGATTCCTAGGGAGAGGGACATTGTTGTCTCAAGTTATTTATGGCTTTGTAAGCCAGCTTCAGGGGGACATGGGTGGTGCTGTGGTTGAAACCACTGAGCCTCTTGGGCTTGCTGATCAGAAGGCCGGTGGTTCGAATCCCCACGACGGGGTGAGCTCCAGTTGTTTGGTCCCAGCTCCTGCCAATCCAGCAGTTTGAAAGCACGCCAAAAAGTGCAAGTAGATAAATAGGTACTGCTCCGGCGGGAAGGTAAATGGTGTTTCCGTGCACTGCTCTGGTTTCGCCAGAAGCGGCTTAGTCATGCTGGCCACATGACCCAGAAAAACTGTCTGTGGACAAACGCCGGCTCTCTCGGCCTGTAAAGCAAGATGAGCGCCGCAACCTCAGAGTCGTCTGTGACTGGACTTAACTGTCAGGGATCCTTTACCTTTACCTTTTTTTAAAAGCCAGCTTCATCACTATGAATGGGGACTGGTATACCTCTCATGCAGCTAGGGCAGTGCTTTCAGGAATGATGTGATGTGAAATTTATCAAACTGGAATATTCAAACAATTTTCCATTAAATATACTGTACACACATTCTATAGAACCTGTGTCACTTCATGTACATTGTTGGGTACTAATATTATACCCTCCAAAATATATCCATATATGGCAACCCATTTCCCTTTTCCATTTTACCACTTCATATTGATGTATCAACAGATTCCTATTTGAAGGAGAAAAGAGTGAATTATAATATGAAATAACAATTTTTCAATACCCATATTCTACCTGTGGAATCTTGTAAAGACCTAAGATATCTGCCATGGATGAAGAGGTTTCAGAGCTAAGTCCCCCAATGACTCCTACTACATTTTTCTGAATGCCACACATGTAGTTGGGGACAAAGTGATGTGATTTAAAGAGCAGATCCAGAGTGATTCGATAGGCCATCTTTGAATCAGAATAGCTATCATAGATGTGGAATCCAAGAGTGACATTGGGCAAGATCTTGGGATTCTCATTGATCTCATCAACAGCAAACACCAAGGCCAGGAGGTGTTGGTAGGACTTGGTCGTCACTCTGCAAATAAAGTGCCTTATTATTTTATGGGCAATTAAACAGTGCACAACACCTAGATCTGAGGGATACAACTGCCTCAAGTAAATCATGTTGGAAATATAGAAATTGTTTTCTGCCTTGAGAGCTAATGTTTGGATCTCTCTTCCATCCGAAACAGATTTTTTTTTACTTTTCTGAACACATATATTGAGAAGTGATCTTCACTTGTTTTTCTAACCATGCTGCTTTTTATCACTAGCAACATGCGCCGTTATTGACATCATTACTACACCCCTTTTGTCAGTTGTTGTCCCTAGCAAAACAAACTGGTATGAAATGAAAATAATTTAGATATGCCTTCAGTTTTATACCATCCTTCAACAAAGCAGCTCAAGCTGGTTTTCATAGCTTTTCTCTCTCCCCTTGCATACTCATGAAAGCCCCTAGGGTGTAGCTGGCCAAGTAAATGGAGATTTGAACCCAGATCTCCCCAATGCAAGGCTGCCATGTGATATTACTGTGGGCAGGAGGATCAATGACTAGAGAGCAAGTGGTGGTGATCTGAAACAGAATGAGCTCAAACATGGTTGAGGTTTCATTTCTGTACCTGGTAATGGAAGGGAAGGGGCAGTGGTAAAGACAGCTTACTTCTTCACCACAATTGTGTCCACAACTACCTGCCTGGAAGAGCTTTTCAATGCTGAATATACTCTTGTGATCTGACCAGGAGAGCATTTTTCTTATAACGTTAGCAACCTGCTATTATAACTTTAGAAACTCTTTAGGGATGGAATCAATCAGATTCAGAGTTGCATACCATGATTAGAGCCAGTCAAATGGTATTCACAAAAAGTGTCCTCTGTGTTCCATCTTTGCTGGATCAGTTTAGATTATCGTGGCCTGAGGATGTAGTGAATGGGATTCGAGAAATGAAGCTGCCCAATGGACCCCATGACCCTTGCCTATCTTGGCTTTTAAAAACGAGCTATATGGGATTGACTGACAGTGGCAGACTTTGGTATTATGGCACCCTGGGCAAAGCCAAAATTTTGCTCCCACTTGGCCCTTCCTAAAGGTGGGCAAAGCTGTGCCAGGCTTAAGGAAGGAGGCACAAGGCTCGCTTGGGTAGGATCCAAGAGCCCCCCTCCCCCCCGGTTCCCAAAGCTGGGGAAGTGCTAACTAGGTTTTGGGAAGGAAGCAGGAGGACTCCAGGACCTCGTCAGAGCCCATGACTTCTTCCCAAAGCCAAGTGCCTTGCTTACCAGGTTTGGGGACAGCAATCCAATGGCTCTGTGTCCAATGTGTGCACACTGCTCGCAGATGCTAAACATCGACTAGTGAGGTCTAGCGAGTGAACTATGCTTCATCGGAGGATAGAGAGATACCATGGATCTTGAAGCAGGTTATAAAATAGTCATAAAATCATACTATTGGTTTTCATCTTACTTTGGGTTTCAAAGTAAAGCAAGTGCTTTATAGTCAGATATAAATGTAGAAAGAATAAATGAAATGATCTTAAGAGCCATTTACTTACATTGGGCTGTTAATAAAGGCCTGAGATGGGTGTTCATCAAAGGAAAAGATGGGCAATAGGTAATAGATATGAGACATTATCCCACCAATGATAAGGTCACCTTGTTCATACCATTCATGTGGAATATGGACAGGATTATTTCCACTGCAAAGAACAGTATGCACTTGGGGCACCATATTGGGAAGCAGCAGGAGAAGCAGCAGCAACAACAGCATCCTCATCTTAACTATCCTTCTACACATGCAAACTCCTTTGACTCTCTACAAGATTGTTACTATCATCAGCCTAACTTGAACAGGATGTATTTGGTGAAAGCTGATTCTGACGATTCTGTACTTAAAGAGGAAGGTATCTGCCTTCTCATTAACTTCAACACTGCCACAAAAAAGTCATTGAATGCTATGATATGACATCTAACCAATACAATGAAAAGCAAAAGCTGGCCTCACCTCTCCTTAGCTTACCTTAGCTCTCTATGGAACACCGGGGTGCTTTTAATCATTTCAGATTTGATTATTTTTTCTTATTTCACATTCAGCCTTCTGGAGCTTTTCTAGGTGAATTGATTACCATAATTTTAATAATTATAGAGAAGATAATTACTTTTGCAATGTTGTTGGACTCTGTGTTGCATCACCAGTAGGAGAACAGCCAAAGTAAACATATTTGTCACATTGCAGAATCAAAGGTTAGGAAGAAGCCTCCAAGGTGATCTTGTCCTATCTGCTTGCTATTGCCGGACATCCAGAACTAAAAACAAACCAAGAAAAAGAAAAACACTCTACCTGTCGACAGGCATCCATATTTCACCTAAAAACTTCTCTATCAAAATGTGTTTAGAGGTGAGGCAACTGCAGCCTCTCCCCATTTGTTTAATTTCCGACTGCTATTGGCCCTGACACTCTCTGACATATGTAACATTGATTCCAGTTGCTACATCTTGGAAACAGAGATGGAAATGTTCCTAACCATATCAGGATATAGAGACCCTGGATAATACAGTCCAGCTACTTTTGAAAGGACATGTATATACTGTTTGAAGCAGAGTGACATGCTTGGGAACACCTAAGACAGTGTCAGGGCCTGGCTGGACGAGGAGAGTAGTGTCAGCTGGTGGCCCAGGAGGCACCTGAGGGGGAAGGAGACTTTGAAAGAGGTTCAGACAGGTGGGACAGAGAGGAATCATCAGCAGAGACTGAACATGAAAGGGAGAGGCTTGAGGTAGCCAGGAGGTGATAGAGAAGGAGTAGGGGCTGTCTTCTGCTCTGCCATACAGAACTGATTCATCTCCTTCCCCTTCTCCATTCTCAGTGCAGGAACAAAGAGTTGAGAAAAGGCTGGAACAGACTTCCGGGGGGCGGCGCGAACGGCAATGGCGGTCCTCTTCTGAACGGGAGAGGAGGCTCCGCAGACAACGGGTCGTCCGCTACGGCGAAGCGGAGACCCATTTCGGAAAACCCCAGGCAGCAAGAGCCGGGGGTCCTGAGGCTCGGTGGGCGCCTTGAGCGACCCTCCAAGCGCGAAAGGAACCCCGTAAGGGGCTCCGGAGCGTGGAGGGGGGTTGCGGCGCTGAGAGCTGTTTCACAGCCTGCGGAGTGAAGCCGCGCTGCTGCTGCCGGTGAGCGCTGATCCCTTTTCCTGTTAAAATACGGATTCGGAGGAAAAGCAACTTATTCGTGAGTAAAGACAAAATTACTTGAAATTAGAGACCTTAAAAGAAAAACTTTAATTGGTTTGAACTTGGCTGAAAGCGGAGAGACGTGGAAACAGGAAGTCCGTCTTCCGCAGCCATTGAACTTGAAAAAGCAACTAGCTGGAGGAGTGGAGGCTGAAAGAAAGAGATTTTAAATTTTACAGATTTAAGCATCTACTGAACCTGCAATTCAAAGTAAAGACTTTAAGTTAAAGACTTGGAATTATTATTTGCACTTGACTTTCCTCCTTTTATTGGATTACAAATTAGAAGGTGAAACCCAGAGTCAGGAGCTGCCTGAGCATTGAGAGACTGAGCTGTCAGTACTGCAGATTTGGATACTGTTATTGGAACTTGCAACAATCTGAGGGTATTGAGACCCTTTAAATTTGAAACATTCTTTTTGGAGACAAATAAGCACTGTCTGTAACAAAGTGATCATTTATAAACTCTGCTAAACATTTGTATCTGAAGGTTCTTGGATATTAAATTGGACTTTGAAAGACATTTCAAGCTCCCTCTAGAGGATTGGATTAAAACAGTGACTTTACAGGTACATTTTACTTTCGATTCCCTTGTTGCTTGCTTGCTCTGGGCCTTTCTATTCCCATGGGAAAAACTCAGTGTGACCTTGACTGATTGATAACGTTGGAATGAGTGGCACAAGAAGGAGAGGGAGAGTTAGACAAACAACTTTAACAACTCTAACCTCAGCCTCGCAGACACGTAGATCATCTGTACCTACTTTGCCCTCAGAAGTAGAAGTTGAAGAAGTTGCCTTGTCACAGGCAAAAGAGGGAGAGGGTGAAGCAGAGCAGTTACAATTGGAAGATATGGCCTCAGGAGTATCTGTCTCTGTTCTAGACAAAATCTTTGAAAAATTGGAAGCTTTGGACAAGAAAGTAGATGTGCAAACAGCAAAGATTGACAAAAACACAGAATGTCTAAATAAATTAACCATACAAGTGGTACAGAACACACAAGCAATTGGACAGTTAACGGAGGCCTCAGCAGAAAATCGGAAATTGGCTGAGGATACCAGACAAAAATTGGAAAATTTAGAGCAAGAGGTAAGACCACTCACTAAACAAGTTGGGGAACATCAGATTTACCTTTCTATGATAGAACTGCGAAATCGTGAGAATAATCTGAGGATTAGATCATTACAAGAGGCAGAAGAAGGAAATTTAACTGAGTTTTTGACCAAAGAATTCTCCAAGTTCTGGAATTTGGAAGAAAAAGATTTTAAAATTGTGTCAGCTTTCAGACTTGGAAGATTCATAAAGAAGGAGAGGCCCAGAGACTGTTTGATAACATTGAGATCAAAGGAGGAAAGGGATAAGATTTTGGGCCTACATTACGGAAAGTCACTGGAGGTTTTGGATAGAAGAATTGAAATTTATAAAGATATTCCAAGACAACTGCTGGATCTTAGAGCCGCCTATTCTGAACTTGCTAAATTACTAAGGAGCAACGCAATTCCATTCAGGTGGGAATTTCCCCAAGGAATATCTTTCACCTTTAGAGGGAGAAAGGTCAAAGTTAGAACATTGGAAGAGAGGGACAAATTTTTGGCTACATACGGAGAGGACCTTCAAAAAGGAATTGAATTACCTTCTGGGCCTGGGGCAACGCCAACACCAACACCAGCACCTGGGGAACCTAAAGATCCAGAGAAGATACCACCCCTGGAGAAATAACCAGATTGAACCAGGATGTCTCTGCAACTGCTGAGTTGGAATATTAATGGTTGTAACATTCCGGAAAAAGGAAGAAAATATTTCACATATTAAAAAAAGAACAATTGGACATTATTTGTCTACAAGAAACACATGTGACGAGGCTCCACAGAAAAGTGTTAATAAATAAAAGATTGGGCCAGGAATTTGTATCGTCGGACAAAGTCAAGAAGAGAGGCGTGGTGATATATGCAAAAGAGAGCCTGTCACCTAAATTTTTATTCAAAGATGAACATGGAAGAATTTTGGCTATTGAGATACAATATCAAGGAGAGAAACTGTTGATATTAGGAATTTATGCACCTAATGAAGGGAAATCGGAATTTTACAAGAAGCTGCAGGAGACAATGCTGGACTATCTGGATTACAACAACATCATAATGATGGGAGATATGAATGGGGTCGTATCAACTAACATGGACAAGTCACAAAGTCAAAATGTTACAAAAGACGGCAGACTACCTAAAACCTTTTTTGAAATGACTGACAATATGGACCTGATTGACATTTGGAGGACAAAGAACCCACTAGGAAGAGAAGGAACATTTTTTTCTGAAGCCCAACTGACCTGGACAAGAATCGACCAAATATGGACTTCTAGAGGCCTGGCACCTAAGGTCAGAAAAGTGGAAATCTGCCCAAAGACCTGTTCCGACCATAATGCAGTAAAGATGGATATGACACTACTACCAACTGGATCCTTTAGATGGAAGATGAATGACAATTTGTTTAGAGATCAGGAAATTACCAAGAAGGCCCAAAAAGCTTTGAAGGACTATTTTGAGATAAATATGAATACTACGGTGGAAAAAAGAATCGTCTGGGATGCAAGCAAAGCTGTAATGAGGGGATTCTTGATACAACAGAATGCAGTAAAGAAAAGAACACAAAATGAGAAAAAAGATAAGATCTTGGATAAAATAAAAGAATTAGAGAAGAAATTAAGAGTGAATCCGAAGTCACAGCCAACTCTGAGAGAAATTAAACTTTATCAGACACAATATTCTAAATTGATAAATCAGGAAATTGAATGGAAGGTTAAATTAATGAAACAAAAACGTTTGAGTCGGCGAATAAATGTGGAAAATTGCTAGCTTGGCAGTTGAAGAGAAGACAAAGATTAAATACGGTTACAAATTTAGAAGTCGATGGAAAAAACATTCAGAATCCAGTGGATATTAGAAAGTGTTTCCAGAGATATTTTAAAAAACTATACACTCAAGGGCCGCAAGACGAAGTTGAGATTAAACAATTTTTGGCAAAAAATGGACTATCTAAACTGTCACAAGAAAATAGGACAATCCTGAATTCTAAAATAACACGACAGGAGATTGAACAAGCCATCCAGAACATGCAACTCGGCAAATCTCCAGGGCCAGATGGGCTGACCTCCAAGTACTATAAGACATTAAAAGACTATTTGATACAACCTTTGATGGAGGTCAGCAATGAAATTATGGAGGGGAAGAGGGCACCGGAGTCGTGGAAGGAAGCGTTCATCACATTAATACCAAAGTCGGAAGCTGAAAAGACACAACTTAAGAACTACCGTCCCATCTCCCTTTTAAATGTGGATTACAAAATATTTGCAGACATTTTGGCAAGTAGATTTAAAAAAGTTTTAAATGAAGTAATCCATAAGGACCAGGCTGGCTTTCTCCCAGGTAGACATCTGTTTGCTAATACAAGGAACATCATTGACATTTTGGAACTTTTGCAAACAGATATAAATACAAAAGCAGTTTTAATTTTTATAGATGCGGAGAAGGCCTTTGACAATATCTCCTGGAAATTTATGAAGGGAAATTTAAAAGAGATGGGAGTGGGACGGGGTTTTGAGAATGGGATTGAGGCGATATATTCAGAACAGAAAGCTAAATTGATAGTTAATAATGTGGTTACAGAAGAGTTCAAAATTGAAAAAGGGACACGACAAGGTTGCCCTATTTCCCTTTGTTATTTATCTCGGTTCTGGAAGTGCTATTGAACATGATTAGAGGGGATCGGTTGGTGGAAGGAATTCAGGTCGGTCAGAAACAATATAAATTAAAAGCTTTTGCAGATGACCTGGTTTTGACCCTGCAGAAGCCAGAGCCCAGTACGAAAAGAGTATTACAACTGATAAATGACTTTGGTCGGGTGGCTGGATTTAAATTAAATAAACAGAAAACTAAGGTTTTGGGGAAAAATTTGACAGATACAGAGTCAGAACGGTTTCAGAATGAGACGGAACTTAATGTGGTTAAAAAGTAAAATACCTAGGGGTAAACATAACAGTAAAAAATCTAAGTCTATTTAAGGATAACTATGAAAAATGCTGGTCAGAAATTAAGAGAGACTTAGATAGTTGGTCAAAACTGAAACTTTCTTTGTTAGGCCGAATTGCTGCTATTAAGATGAATGTATTGCCAAGGATGTTGTTTTTATTTCAAACACTTCAGGTTTTGGACAAAACGGAGTGCTTTCAGAAGTGGCAGAGAGACATTTCTAAGTTTGTCTGGCAGGGCAAAAAGCCCAGAATTAAGTTTAAGATATTAACTGATGCAAAACAAAGAGGGGGCTTTGCCCTGCCAGACTTAAAGTTGTATTATGAAGCCGCAGCGTTCTGCTGGCTAAAAGACTGGCTACTTCTTGAGGACACTGATGTGTTGGATCTGGAAGGGTTTAACAATGCCTTTGGATGGCATGCATATTTATGGTATGACAAGGTTAAAGCAAATAAGGCCTTTAAGAACCATATTGTCAGAAAATCATTGTTTAATGTCTGGATAAAATATAAAGACTTGCTGGAAAATAAAACACCAAGGTGGCTTTCACCTCTGGAAGCTAAGGCCCGAAAAAGACCCAATATGGAGGCTAGATGGCCAAAATATTGGGAAATACTAGAAAAGGATGGAGACAATTGGAAATTGCAGAGTTTGGAGAAAATGAAAGACAAAGTGCGAGATTGGTTACACTACGCTCAGATTAAAGAAGTTTTTAAAAATGATAAGAAATTAGGGTTCCAGGTGGAGAAATCGAAACTAGAAACAGAATTGTTAGAACCAAAGATTAAGGTACTTTCAAGGATGTATAACTTGCTGTTGGAATGGAATACACAAGATGAAACGGTTAAATCGGCTATGATAAGGTGGGCACAGGACATTGGGTATAATATTATGTTTGAGGACTGGGTAAGGTTGTGGAGTAATGGATTGAAATTCACTGCATGTAACGCTTTGAAAGAAAATGTAATGAAAATGATTTATAGATGGTATATGACCCCAGTCAAACTTGCAAAAATTTACCACCTGTCTGATAATAAGTGTTGGAAATGTAAAGAGTGTGAGGGAACGTTCTTCCACCTCTGGTGGACTTGCCCTAAAGTGAAGGCGTTCTGGGAAATGATTTATAATGAATTGAAAAAGGTATTTAAATATACCTTCACTAAGAAACCAGAGGCTTTCCTCTTGGGTATTGTCGGCCAAGGGGTGGCAAAGAAGGACCAGACATTTTTTATGTATGCAACAACAGCAGCAAGGATACTTCTCGCAAAACATTGGAAAACTCAAGATCTACCCACACTGGAAGAATGGCAGATGCAACTGATAGACTACATGGAACTGGCTGAAATGACCGGCAGAATTCGTGACCTGGGAGAAGAGAGGATGGAGGAGGATTGGAAGAAATTTAAGAACTATCTACAAAAATATTGTGATTTGAGTGAATGCTAAATAAGATGCTAGATTAAAATAACTGAGCACCACTTAACTTAGAAGTTTTTAAGAAAACAAGTAAGACTGTGAAAGTTTAACTCTTTTTGAGAATTATAAGACTATGAAATATTGAAGGGATATAAGAATTCAAATAAGATGATAAATTGCTGACAAAATGTTATAACGATGAAAGTGGGAGCGGGAGATGTGAGGAAGTCCAAAGAAAATGTGAAACTATGTTAAGACAAGTGTTATATTGTTTATTATGTTTATTCTTATTGTAAAACCCAATAAATTGCTTTAAAAAAAAAAAGAGAAAAGGCTGGAACAATTGAGAATGGAGGTATAAATAGGGGATGAAAGGGGCAGGAATTTAATTTCTGCAATTGACCTGCTTAGCTGATGGAAGTCCCATGTGATGTCTCCTTGGTTACTGAGCTATGAAGTTGATTACTCTCCAGCCCTGACTTTTTCTGCTTACAGCATTGAACCACAAATGGAAGGGCTTTTCTGGCAGCCTTACAGACAGTGGCTTTTGAGTCCATGGGTAGCTTCTCCAACTACATTCTTTCTGTGGTAACCCTGTGAGGCTCAGGACCCCAGTTATGTTACCCCATGTCTGCAGAGCTGGCTGCCTCCCACCTTTTTTTTAAACACCCACCCTTGTGGTGTTTTCCCTCAGCCTCCTCTCCCCTGCCCTCTCCAGGAAGCTGATGCTGCTGACCCTGGTTTCCGAGCTGCCCCCTTACCCCAAACAGGGGTGCCTCCTAACACTGCCCTACTGCTGGGAAGCACCGTCTGGCCAGTCCAAGAGACACCATTCATCTGGAGAGCATGTAGCCAAGGCTGTGGAAACCTTTGGGAGACCAAGTCACAAGAGGGCATGAGAGGAGGGAGGGAAGGAAAGAGGGACAGAGGCCAGTGTTGTCCGTGGCACCCCTGACCATCATTCAAGGCACCCCAGTGTAAGGCACTGATAGGCACTGTTATGCCGTCCAGATGTTTTTGGTCTACAGCTTCCATCATCCTTGATAGCAATGGTCTGTTGTAAGCTGGTGGGAGCTGCAATTCAGCAACATCTGGAGGGCCACAGATTGATGACCCCAGGTGCAAATAAGAGTGGGGTGCAGAATAAGGCTCCATTGCTAGGGTGATATTGATCCACTAGGGGTATGTTAGGTATTAGAGACCTCTGAATCTGGAGCGGTCTCTACATATGGCAAGGTGAGTCACTTCCTGGCTCCCTGCACAGTCTTATGTCGATTGAGTTAAGAGATTCCAGTGAAGAAATCCAGGTTTATACTGGGAATTCTAAAATTGGTTAGAGGTGTCTTTTTGTGCCTGGAATTTCTAGTGGAATGCTCATATGATTTTCATTTTGGAGCACTTTTAAATGTTCTGCTGCCACATATAATGAACATCGTAAAGGAATACGTACATAAATGTAGACTCCTCAAAATGAATCACACAAAACATGACCCATGATTTAATAGAATTACTGTTACCATGAAATTGTCACTTTCCATTCATTTCTTAAAATAATCTGTACATGTAGGGGAATGGTTGGGTTGGTAATGAACATAGAGTCATTTCTTGATTGGCTTCCTTGAGGTGTGATGACACAAGCTGGAAACTGAATCTTGAGAGTGGCAGTGGGCAAGCAATCTTTGGCCGTTACTACTGGATTCTTACCTTCTTCTTCATCCTTACCTAAACATAAAGTATCTTTACTGCCTGGCTCCCTTCATTTACTTGCGTGAAATTTTTGAAATGGCTCAGCCTCTTTGCTAGTGCAGTTAGGCATATAGTGAAGACAAAGTATCTCAGATCCAGTCTTCTGCAATTTTATGGCTGTCTAACATGAACTTGATAGACGGTCACCCAAAATAGGGAGAATATGGCTTGGGGCATGGTCAAATCTGGAGCACAGCCCTGCTGTATAGACTCATGGACTCATTATAAGACAGCTTCTCAAATTTTTGTGTTCCTTTTCATCTCTTCTCTCTGTACCCCATCACCTCCTCCTCAGGAGAGGTTCAGGGCCTCTTGGGGGGCATTTCTTTGGATGCAGGAGAAGAAGAGAAACAGAACGTATAGGCATTCAAAGTTTTTGCATATAATCCATGGTTTCTTAAATAAACATAACCCCGTTTCATTTACAGCTCATATGCAACTATGCTGGATATCAAGAACATAGATGATAACACCAGTGATCCCCCCCCCCGAGGTGACGCAGGGAGATGCATAACCCTAAACATTTTGTGAATCTAAGTTTGGCCTCATTAAGGGGCAGAATTTCAATATGAGTAGGAAAATGAGAGTACCACTAAACATCTTCTCTCCTTTATATAAAATAAGCACTGGATAAGACAATTCTCTTCTGTTATTTTCATCATTTCATTTAACTTCCCTTCTTGAAAAAACACACAGTGAAATTACCATGCCAACAAGTCTACAGAGTCTAAATACAGAAACGACAAACTATACTGTTATTTACGTCTTTCTCCGTATCAGCTGCTCTCTGTTATTCAGCTCAGGCCTCACCACAATAATGTAGCATTTAGGGGAAAAGATGCAACCCAGCAGCCCAGCACTGGAAGCCAAGATGGAGAAGATCTCCACAGCCACCATGTATTTTCCTCTGGTGCTTAAGTATGTGGGAATAAAGGAGAACCAAACACTGCAGAAGACCAGCATGCTGAAGGTGATGAACTTGGCTTCATTGAAGCTGTCCGGCAACTTCCTGGCTAAGAAGGCCACAGTGAAGCTGATAATGGCCAGAAAGCCCATGTAGCCTAAAACAGCATAGAACATTAGAACTGACCCCTCATTACATAAGAATATAATTTCTTCAGTCATTGAGTGCATGTCCACATCTGGGAATGGGGCAGAGGTTGCCAGCCAGAAGGCACAGATTCCGACTTGAATCACAGAGCAGGAAAGGACGATGGAGTAAGCCAGTTTTTTTGCCTACCCACTTCCTGATTGTGGAATCTGGCTTGGTAGCCATGAATGCCAAAACCACTGAAATAGTCTTGGCCAAGATGCTGGAGAGGGCCACAGAGAAGATGATGCCAAAACTTGTTTGTCGGAGAAGGCAGATTGGCTCCTTAGGAGTTCCAATGAACATCAAAGTGCAGAGGAAACACAAGAGAAGGGACACAAGGAGAATGTAAGTGAGGCTTCTGTTGTTGGCTTTGACGATGGCAGTGTCCCGGTGCTTAATGAAAATGCCAAGTACCATTGCTGTGATTAGAGAGAATAAAAGTGCAGAGAAAGTTGAAACAATGGCCAAAGTTTCCCCAAAGCCTAGGACGTGTGTTTTCTTGGGAATGCACTGATTCTGCTCTTCATTTGGATATTGCTCTGGAGGACATCTTGCACAGGTTTCCAATCCTGAAAAAGGTGGTATGACAATTGGAAACAATCCAGTATATGCTTAAGAGTTTTTTTTTAAAATCATGAGTTCCCTTACCATAGTGTTTCCACGAGGATAAGTTTCAAAACTTCTAGTCGAAATGCTTGTGCCCTAGAAGCTTTGAAGATAAAGTTCCCAAGGAACCTTGTTCTTAGAATAAAGACCCCAATTCTTTTCCATCCTGCCTCCCCCAAAACCTTGGTTTCTTCCAGGGCAGAATGCATGTACAATTTTTATGTCTTTTTGCATCAAAACAGAGGGGCGGATCTACACTCATGGTGTATATCATTAAAATGTGTTATTAAAATGTGGCAGCACAGCAGTGAGCCACCATCAATGAGAAACTGCATTAAACATTAGAGAATATTACCTAACAACAAGGAAACTAGCGCTAATACACCCAGGAACCTCAGCAAAATGCTGGAGAGGGTGCACCTCCACAGGCACATACCTACAGATGCGGTGGGAATGCCCCAAAACCAACTATTCTGGACAATAGTAACACAAGAAATGTAAAATAACTAAGCAAGTATTAGAAATCACCCCAGAACTGGCCCTACTAATCATATTCCAAGACAACAATGCCCACTCACATCACAAAGAACTCATAACCCACCTACTCTCAGCAACCACAAACATCATAGTCAGACACTGGAAAGACCTGTCAGGAGTAAGCATGGACCAATTGTACCAAATAGTATGGGAAACAGCGCTACTTGAAAAATTAACCAATAAACTGAAAGTGACACGATGACAAATAGAAGAAGATACCTTCACTCCGGTATGGCTCCCCTTTATCACATACACAGCCCAACAAGACAATGACAAGAATCCACCAACAGCATATGAATCAATATGGTTACCTGATCCAAAACACCCATCTACCCCCATTCACACACGAAAACAAAGTTCACCACAAGCAACCACAAGCAAGCAACTGCACCTAGGCCAACCCCAATCTATCTCACCACCAAAGGAACACATGCGAATAGCAAAGAGCACCTGCACAATCTACGCTGACACAAAACCCCACACATACATTAAGCAAAATAGAAATATCGCCTCCCGACCCCACCCCCACGCACCATGGCCCCCTCCACCTCTTCCCCCCTTTTCTCTTCCTAATGTAACCCTAATGTCTCAACAAATGAACTGACCTATGGAAAATGTAACTTGAAAAAAAGAGACACTGCATATACCTTTGTAAACCAAGAAAACTTTAATAATAATATATATTTTTTTAAAAATTAGAGAATATTGTATGCAGTAATGTTTAGAATGGGACGCGGGTGGCGCTGTGGGTTAAACCACAGAGCTTAGGACTTGCCAAGCAGAACGTCGGCGGTTCGAATCCCCGTGACGGGGTGAGCTCCTGTTGCTCGTTCCCTGCTCCTGCCAACCTAGCAGTTCGAAAGCACGTCAAAGTGCAAGTAGATAAATAGGTACCGCTCCGGCGGGAAGGTAAAGGGCGTTTCCATGCGCTGCTCTGGTTCGCCAGAGTCATGCTGGACACATGACCCTGAAGCTGTACGCCGGCTCCCTCGGCCAATAAAGTGAGATGAGCGCCGCAACCCCAGAGTCGGCCACGACCGGACCTAATGGTCAGGGGTCCCTTTACCTTTACTTGTAATGTTTAGAATATCAATGTATGTAGGTACACTGATGGAAAATCTTTACATTACAGATTACGGTCACATCCTCATGGTATACTCTCTTGAAGGTTAAGATAATTTCTTCATAGTGGCAGCTTTTACACAGACAGAAGGGAGATTATTCTACTCCAGTGGTACCTCGGGTTAAGTACTTAATTTGTTCCGGAGGTCCGTTCTTAACCTGAAACTGTTCTTAACCTGAAGCACCACTTTAGCTAATGAGGCCTCCTGCTGCTGCTGCCACGCCGCTGGAGCACAATTTCTGTTCTCATCCTGAAGCAAAGTTCTTAACCCAAGGTACTATTTCTGGGTTAGCGGAGTCTGTAACCTGAAGCGTATGTAACCTGAAGCGTATGTAACCCAAGGTACCACTGTATTGTTAATAAACAATATAAATTGAGACCATACAGAGCAAACCTCATTGCTAATTTGCTCAGAATTTACTATAATAGCTTGTATATGGTGATATGGCATCTCTCACCCTTCTCATTTGAGAACATCCCACGAGGACATGGATCACAATCATAACAACAGAACTTCTTCCCCTCCTTCTTTTTCTTCTCATAACCGGGAAGGCAGTTGGCATTACATAATGAAAGGGGTGGCACCTATCCAAAGAGACACAAAGAGGTTAATATTAAGACAATATTTTAGGGGATTCATGTAACATCAGGTGATCTACCAGTAAGTAGGAGGGCCAGAAATGTTAGCTATAGGTTTTCTATGTGCCAAAGCAGCACATACACAGTGGGAGAAAAAGTTACAGTTCTAAGCATCATACAAACACAAGAAGATTACAATGTTCATATCTAGATTGACCATTGCTACAACCATCAGATAATTTGATCTAATACACTACTGGTTATTTCTTTTTATGGTACTACAGCCTCCTGCTCTTTGCTGCTGTAATTTCACTTGATGTCCCCTTAGTGGGCTTCAAGGAGTTGGGATTTGGAGGTAGTGAATTACTGTGGTTTTGCTCTTATTTGGACAGCCCTATCACTTATACCATTGGAAAAAAGAGAGGCAGCGAAAATGGTGCACAGAAAATGTAGGTACACTGATGGAAGATGTATTGGGGTTGTGGTGGACTGGTTTTAGAAAACCAACTTCATAAAAAGCAGGGAACTACAATAAAATGTGTACATAAAATAAGTTGCGACTTTTTCAAAAAGAAATATTTCCAACATTTTTCCAATGACCTTTTTTAAAAATATATGATTTTGTAGGCAACTAGTGCTGACAGGCCTTGGATTGAATAAATCAGAAACATGAGGCATTGAGAGGAGCCTGCATGCCTTGTCCACAGCTGATGGAGTATATGGAGTTACTAGCAGCCGGGCTAGTAACCACTCCGAGCAAGGCATGATTTGGGGGGCTCCCCCTGGGCCTGGGCCTGTGGCAGAAGCCAACCTGACACACAATTATGTACATCCCGGCTTCTAGCATTCCAACTCGACACTAGAGTTACAAGAGGCAGCAGAAGATTACAATGTTAGCAATCTATCTAATGCTACTAACAGGGTGAGATCCCATGGACAGTAAGACTAAAAGGAAAGGGAGTTCATGATGGCTGGGAGTTTGTTAAGAGGGAGATACTAAAAGCACAACGTCAGGCAATACCAATGAGACGGAAACATGGAAGGTGCCTAAAGAAGCCAGGGTGGCTATCTAAAGAACTTTTAACTGAGTTAAGATTAAAAAAGGATGTGTACAAAAAATGGAAAAAGGGGAAAACCACCAAAGAGGAATTCAAACAAATAGCCAGCACGTGTAGACACAAAGTCAGAAAAGCTAAAGCACAGAATGAACTCAGGCTTGCTAGAGAGGTTAAAAGCAACAAAAAAGGCTTTTATGGGTATGTCCGTAGCAAAAGGAAGAACAAAGAAACAGTGGGGTCACTCAGAGGAGAAGATGGTGAAATGCAAACAGGGGACACAGGAAGGGCTGAACTCCTCAATGCCTTCTTTGCCTCAGTCTTCTCCGATAAAGAAAACAATGCCCGACCTGAAGAATTTGGAGCAAATGATTCAGCAAAGGAAACACAGCCCAGAATAACTAAGGAGATAGTACAAGAATACTTGGCTAGTTTAGATGTATTCAAGTCTCCAGGGCCAGATGAACTGCATCCAAGAGTATTAAAAGAACTGGCAGATGTGATCTCAGAACCACTGGCAGTCATCTTTGAGAATTCCTGGAGAACAGGCAAAGTCCCGGCAGACTGGAGGAGGGCAAATGTTGTCCCTATTTTCAAAAAGGGGAAAAGAGAGGACCCAAATAATTACCGCCCAGTCAGTCTGACATCAATACCAGGGAAGATTCTGGAGCAGATCATTAAGCAAACAGTCTGTGAGCACCTAGAAAGGAATGCTGTGATCACCAATAGTCAGCATGGATTTCTGAAAAATAAGTCATGTCAGACTAACCTGATCTCGTTTTTTGACAGAATTACAAGCCTGATAGATGAAGGGAACGCAGTGGATGTAGCCTACCTTGATTTCAGCAAGGCATTTGACAAGGTGCCTCATGATATTCTTGTAAAGAAGCTGGTAAAATGTGGTCTTGACTATGCTACCACTCAGTGGATTTGTAACTGGCTGACTGACCGAACCCAAAGGGTGTTCATCAATGGTTCCTCTTCATCCTGGAGAAGAGTGACTAGTGGGGTGCCACAGGGTTCTGTCTTGGGCCCGGTCTTATTCAACATCTTTATCAACGACTTGGATGATGGACTCAAGGGCATCCTGATCAAATTTGCAGATGACACCAAATTGGGAGGGGTGGCTAACACCCCAGAGGACAGGATCACACTTCAAAACGACCTTGACAGATTAGAGAACTGGGCCAAAACAAACAAGATGAATTTTAACAGGGAGAAATGTAAAGTATTGCACTTGGGCAAAACAAAATGAGAAGCACAAATACAAGATGGGGGACACCTGGCTTGAGAGCAGTACATGTGAAAAGGATCTAGGAGTCTTGGTTGACCACAAACTTGACATGAGCCAACAGTGTGACGCGGCAGCTAAAAAAGCCAATGCAATTCTGGGCTGCATCAATAGGAGTATAGCATCTAGATCAAGGGAAGTAATAGTGCCACTGCAGAGGCTTGACAACCATATGTCAGAAGTGCTCTGATGGTGTTTCCTGCTTGGCAGGGGGTTGGACTCGATGGCCCTTGTGGTCTCTTCCAACTCTATGATTCTATGATTCTATGATTCTATGATTCTATGATTCTATGATAACTGGAAAACCGCCTTGGACCAACAAGCATGTTGGACAACACTGTCTGATAGCCATTGGTCCTTCTTGGTGTGACATGTCTTCTGTGCATATTGCTCTTTTTGATTATGTGGTTCATTTGTTATTAATAAAATTATTAGTAGCAGCATTATTACTAGTGGCAGCAGCAGTTGGGCAGCACCTCCCCCCACAGTGATTTCCTTACCTGAGTGAAGACTCTGTGCCATTGGATTCCGTTCCCATTAATGATGAGTTCTTTGCCAGGAGGGGCCTGAGGATCCAGCTTTCCGACTTTGACCCTGACGTAGGAATTATTTGGGAAAGTGACCAGGTTTGCAATATCAAAGCCAGCTGCTATTTCTCCATGTTCATTTAATGTGATTTCATCCTCAGCACTGTTGTTGAATGAGATCCTTTGTAGCAATGAGTGGACCTAGGTGGAAAGAGAATCAGAAGGCCTAGAAAATGTTGTAATAGTCTTAAATCCCAGAAGGATTTAAGTCATTTTTCTACAAGAGTTATCCACTTCAAGCAATCTTTTTTTATTACCATCGTAGACGAGCATAAGTAGGGTGGGGTACTGTCATTTAAAATCTGTAAAATGGTTTGGAAAGCTAAAAAGTATTTAAACAGAAGGTACCGTATTTTTCCATGTATAAGACGATGCTCGTCTTATATGCGGATAGGCATATGCCCATGCACCCACAAATTGTTCAATGAGGGGGTCAGACCCCCCTCAATATTCTGCAGCCAGAAGGGCTCTGGTGGGCCCGCCTGCTACAGCAGTGGGCTCCTATGGAGCAGTGGGAAGGGGCGATGAAGCCCCTTATAGATTCTGAAGGCCATTAGGAGATACCCTAAAAAGGCCTCTGAAAAGCCCAGAGGGGGCAGCTGGGGCTCCTCCCAGTGTGTGACAACACATGGAGCATGTGACATCACACATGTGCATGGGACACCCACAATGTGGGGAGGAACATGGTGCAGGTGGCCCCAAGCGTCATTTTTGACAGCTTCAGATACATTCCACTTGGCCAATTGATGCCATTAACCTCATACAACAAGTTGTCTAATTCAGTGGTTCACTATTAGAGGTCTGGGGACCCCAGAGTTTCCACAGAACACACCCAGGGGGTCTGCAGTACCACCCCCTGCTGGGGTACTCACTTTTCTTGTTAATTGCACAGGGAAAACCTTCCACGGATCATTCAGCCTCTGCTTGCGGCCAATTCCTGCTTTCTGGCAGGGGAAAAACTTGTGAAAGAGTCGCTGGATGGCAAGCGAGGTGGGATTTGGGGAAAAACCTTGGACACATTTTCTTAGTGCTCTTTAAATTGGAGAGTGGGAGGAAGAAAAAGTTTTGTAGTTCTTTATCTCCTTGACCTCTGAAGGGCAGGTGTTACCCAGGGAAGGCGTCACTACCAAGAAGGCCCTCTGCCTGTTTCCTACTTAGATAGATGATAGATAGATAGATGATATAGATAGATAGATTGATAGATGATAGATAGCTAGAGCTAGAAATATGGATAAAGGTTTCGAAGCTGCTAGAAATGTCAACATTTGTTCATTTGTACTATGCTTTAATAAAACTGAATTGGTCTCTGCTCCAACTAAATCTTTGTCATTTTTGCATGGTAAAATCACAAATTTCATGGTCTGCTTTTTAGTAGACTAAATATCCTCTGCTTATTTGGGGCTACCCCACATTTTCTTCGAAAAATTGCTTTGCTACCTTACGGTTATCAAAATTTTCAAAAGCAGGGGTTCCATGGTTTAGCTCTTGAAAAATAGTGGAAACTCAGTAATTAGCTAATTAGGAACGACTGGTCTAATTAAATGCCAGTTGAAATACTGGAACAGTGCCAGTTCTAAATGCTTAAATAGCAGCGTATTTTTAGAACAATTATTAACCTTTCAAGTAGTTGCTGCTATTCTGTCACTTATCAAAGTCTGTGTAATCTAAAGTCTGTTTAGTGTAATTGTAGGAAATAAAATATTTTAAGGTTAATCTTTCATGTATATATTACTTTCAGTTATTTACTTTTAGATGAATACCAACTCACAATATATATCAGTACAGCACACAACACTGAATACTTTGCAAGGTGAACACTTTATAAGAGGAAACGTTACCTGCCAAGGCTCTATAGTCTGAGAAGAGAGTCTGTCTCCACCCTTTATCCTTTTGCTGATGGCTTCAGAGGAGTACCTAATATGTAAGGCGTGTGCCAGAGCATAGACAGCATTATAGATACTGTAGCTGTGACCGGTCATGCTCATTTCAAAATATGGTGCAGGAAGGCTCTCCAGCATCTCCTCTCCAGTACATATGTCTGCTGACCCAGTGGAATTTGAAAGTGAACACATGAATGCTTGTTCCCAGAAATCGTTGGTAAAACCATCCGCATCTGCCCAGGAAGGCTTTACATTCCTCAGAAAGTCTGAGAAGTCTTGAATGTCCTTGGAGTGAATGGCAAAGGAGAACGCACCATGGCATATTTGTATATTTATTTCAATAGGTTTTTTAAAAAAAGCTAATGAGAAATCAATTTGGGCAGTTGTAATCCATACTTTTCCTACATGTTGCTTCCTCTTAGATGGAGGCAATAGCAGCTGAATCATATTCCTTACCTCTATAGCAATAGTTACCCACAAAATAGATTCTCCATATATAACAACCACATTTGCTTTGCTTGATATGAAAGCTGGGGTCAAAATCCCTGTGTCATCCAGCATATCCAGTATGTTACCAGTGAAATGCGGAAGTTCTTCATTTTTATCTGTGAATTCTGAACAGATTCCATTCTGGAAAAGCATTGGTTCAATGATCTGCAAGAAATGTTCTCCAGCTTCATTATTTGGAGTGATGAGCCCGACCCATTTCCATCCAAAATGCAGAAGTAACTGGATAATTCCCTTGTACTGAAGATCTTCATTGGGGACCATGAGGTAGAAGAAACCACGTTTGATTTGATCATTTGTGGCTGGTTCAAATGAACCATATGAAATCTGAAAAGGAAAAAGTCAAACCTTTCCATGTGAAAACAAAAATTCAAAACACAAACAAAATTCTGTAAATCCCATATTTACTAATCTTCGCCATGGCGAACCCCCATTTATATAGAAAATATATTTCTCAAAAACCAAACAAACAATATTTCTCATTTAATTTTGTAGATATTAATTCCTATTATTATGGGAGTCATCACAGCTGCATACTTGTACACACAGCTTCTCTCCAGGAACAGGAGAGCTTTTATCCTTGCACTGCCTTCAACAATACTCTAAAGTGGACCAGGAGAAATACAAGCAATTGATCAGGGACAAATTGATCAGCAGACAAACACCATATGGTAACACTATACCCCTCCCCAAAGGCCTCAAAAATAACAAGAAATTTGTTTTCGATTAGCCTCTGAAAATGGACAGTACTAAACATCATCATACGTATACAGGGAGGGGATCTTATGATTCCTAGGGAGAGGGACATTGTTGTCTCAAGTTATTTATGGCTTTGTAAGCCAGCTTCAGGGGGACGCGGGTGGCGCTGTGGTCTAAACCACTGAGCCTCTTGGGCTTGCCGATCAGAAGGCCAGTGGTTCGAATCCCCGCGACGGGGTGAGCTCCAGTTGTTTGGTCCCAGCTCCTGCCAACCCAGCAGTTCGAAAGCATGCCAAAAAGTGCAAGTAGATAAATAGGTACTGCTCTAGCGGGAAGGTAAATGGTGTTTCCATGCACTGCTCTGGTTTCGCCAGAAGCGGCTTAGTCATGGTGGCCACATGACCCGGAAAAACTGTCTGTAGACAAACACCGGCTCCCTCGGCCTGTAAAGCAAGATGAGCGCTGCAACCCCAGAGTCGTCTGTGACTGGACTTAACTGTCAGGGGTCCTCTACCTTTACCTTTTTTTTAAAAGCAAGCTTCATCACTATGAATTGGGACTGGTATACCTCTCATGCAGCTAGGGCATTGCTTTTAGGAATGATGTAATGTGAACCGATCAAGATACCCAATTTATCAAACTGGAATATTCGAACAATTTTCCATTAAATATACTGTACACACATTCTATAGAACCTGGATCATTTCATGTACATTGTTGAGTACTAATGTTATACCCCCCAAAATATATCCATATATGGCAATCCATTTCCCTTCTCCATTTTACCACTTCATATTGATGTATCAACAGATTCCTATTGGAAGGAGAAAAGAGTGAATTATAATATGAAATAACAATTTTTCAATACCCATATTCTACCTGTGGAATCTTGTAAAGACCTAAGATATCTGCCATGGATGAGGAGGTTTCAGAGCTAAGTCCCCCAATGACTCCTACTACATTTTTCTGAATGCCACACATGTAGTTGGGGACAAAGTGATGTGATTTAAAGAGCAGATCCAGAGTGGTTCGGTAGGTCATCTTTGAATCAGAATAGCTGTCATAGATGTGGAATCCAAGAGTGACATTGGGCAAGATCTTGGGATTCTCATTGATCTCATCAACAGCAAACACCAAGGCAAGAAGGTGTTGGTAGGACTTGGTCGTCACTCTGCAAATAAAGTGCCTTATTATTTTATGGGCAATTAAACAGTGCACAACACCTAGATCTGAGGGATACAACTGCCTCAATTAAATTGTGTTGGAAATATAGAAATTGTTTTCTGCCTTTAGAGCTAATGTTTGGATCTCTGTTCCATCCGAAACAGATTTTTTTTACTTTTCTGAACACATAGATTGAGAAGTGATCTTCAATTGTTTTTTCAACCACGCCGCTTTTTATCACTAGCAATATGCACCGTTATTGACATCATTACTAAACCCCTTTTGTCAGTTGTTGTCCCTAGCAAAACTAACTGGTATGAAATGAAAATAAAGAAATTTAGATATAGCTATATGGGATTGACTGGCAGTGCAGACTTTGGTACTATGGCACTCTGGGCAAGGCCAAAATTTTGCTCCCACTTGGCCCTTCCTAAAGGTGGGTAAAGCTGTGCCAGGCTTAAGGAAGGAGGCACAAGGCTCGCTTGGGTAGGATCCAAGAACCCCCCTCCCCCCCGGTTCCCAAAGCTGGGGAAGTGCTAACTAGGCTTTGGGAAGGAAGCAGGAGGACTCCAGGACCTCGTCAGAGCCCATGACTCCTTCCCAAAGCCAAGTGCCTTGCTTACCAGGTTAGGTTACAGCAATCCAATGGCTCTGTGTCCAATGTGTGCTCACTGTTCGCAGATCTTAAACATCACCCTTGTGACTACTGAGGTCTAGCGAGTGATCTTTGCTTCACTGGAGGATAGAGAGATACCATGTATCTTGAAGCAGGTTATAAAATAGTCTTATAAAATCTTATTATTGGCTTTAATCTTCCATTGGGTTTCAAAGCAAACCAAGTGCTTTATAGTCAGATATAATTGTAGAAAGAATAAATGAAATGATCTTAAGAGCCCTTTACTTACACTGGGCTGTTAATAAAGGCCCGAGATGGGTGTTCATGGAAGGAGATGCTGGGCAATAGGTAATAGATATGAGACATTATCCCACCAATGATAAGGTCACCTTGTTCATACCATTCATGTGGAATATGCACAGGATTATTTCTGCTGCAACCAACAGTGGTCACTTTGGGCACCATATTGGGAAGCAGCAGGAGAAGCAGCAGCAGCAGCAGCAGCGACATCCTCATCACAACTATCCTTCTACACATGGAATCTCCTTTGTGTGGCTATTCCCTCCCCCCCCCACAGGTGGAATAAATAAAGACAACGGACACAGCGTTTTAGGTTAATGGGCGAAAATGGCCACAACTTTATTGATTACAGGAAATGAAGGGTATTGGCTTTAGGCATTGGCCCCTAACCGACTATCCGGTCTGACCGGGAAGGGTTAAACACCAACAGGGGGAGCCACCCGAGATGCGTATCCCTAGGCGCTCCCCGAGGGGTTACCGCTCGGGGGCGCGCTTTAGGCCCTAGCCTCCGTAGGTTTCGGACGAGGCGTCGCCCCTCGGAGTCCTTTAACGAACTACCCTTCAAGCATTGGGGGAGGTGATGGCGTTCCTCCCCCCCAACCTCATCTGCATGACAATACCCCGGCCAATGCCTACCGCCAAAACCGAGGGAGTTGTGACGATTTGCTACGAGGTAGGCGAAAAACCAAGTGGCTCACAAAACCAGCCAATTAGCCAAATGGAAAAACTCCTACCAGGCCCCTTGCGGCGACCAGCCGAAGCCCATAGCAATGTCAGTGGCAAAACCTAAAGGGCGGGTGGGTGGGAAACCGCGTCGTCTCCAGGGTGAAAAGGGGCAAGCCAGGGCTTCCCCGACCTTAAGTGGCCTTTCTAAGGCCCGCCCCTGGCGCCAGCCAATTGGCTGGCGGCACAGGGGCTGGGAAGTGGGGGAATCTCTGCCTCCCGCGAGGCTGGCGCCAGCCTCGGGAGAGCGAGAGTGGGCGGGGTCGTGATCCCACAACCCCCCCTCCTCCTGACGATCGGAAGGGGCATTGTGTGGCTATTCCCTCCCCCCCCACAGGTGGAATAAATAAAGACAACGGACACAGCGTTTTAGGTTAATGGGCGAAAATGGCCACAACTTTATTGATTACAGGAAATGAAGGGTATTGGCTTTAGGCATTGGCCCCTAACCGACTATCCGGTCTGACCGGGAAGGGTTAAACACCAACAGGGGAGCCACCCGAGATGCGTATCCCTAGGCGCTCCCCGAGGGTTACCGCTCGGGGCGCGCTTTAGGCCCTAGCCTCCGTAGGTTTCGGACGAGGCGTCGCCCCTCGGAGTCCTTTAACGAACTACCCTTCAAGCATTGGGGGAGGTGATGGCGTTCCTCCCCCCCAACCTCATCTGCATGACAATACCCCGGCCAATGCCTACCGCCACCGAGCCGCAAGCCGGCTCGCCGCCAATACCCTCAGACCTGTAACCAATCCCTAACACCTTGAAAAATATCAGCCAACCAAATATCATTTCCCGCATCAGATAGATGCACGCCATCCCAGCGATAGAGCATTTCCTTGTCAAACCGTATGCGTGGGTGCTGAATGACCCGACCACCCCATGCGGCCACTCTACGTGCCACCATGCGCTCCACAATCCTTCTAGCTTTATTCACAGCCACGGGTTTCTCTGCATCCCGCCAACATCGCCTTTCCAGCAAAGATGACCAAATTATTGTAATGTTTTCATGGGATGCCCTCAACAATTCCAAGTCGTTGATAATGTTCCACATCAAGTTCACCCCTTTCCTATACGCCAAATCGTTCTCGCCCAGCTGGATGACCAAGGCACTGGGTGGGCCCTCGGCAGCGATTTTTTTGGATACAACTGGGAAAAACTCTTCCCAACGCATACCCCTCCTAGAGATCCACGATAGTTTGACCCAGCTGGGTAGCCGTAGCTCTTCAACCCAGCCCCTTTGTTCGGCGCGCCGCTTTGCCCAATATACGATGCTGTGGCCGAGGATCCACAGTCGAACCACACCAGTACCTGAAAAGAGAGAATCGGAGAACCGGATCAGGAGGAGTGCCCGGGGGGAAAGCTGAGGGGAATTTAGAAGGTCTACCGAATATAACCCTGGAATGCGTTGGATTTCCAGCGCCCCATGTCCATAATTCTTTCAGCCGGTAAGCCCATATGGGCGGCGGTGGTCGCCGCCCCAATGCGAAAGGAGTGCGCGGCGTACTCCTCTTGGGGAAGCCCGATGGCGGCAATTGCTTTGCGCATGACCCTCGTGAACTGCTGCTTTGAGAGGGAGGAACCGTCGGAATGCAAGAAAAAGGGGCCACTAGGTTCTGGTCTTACACACAGGTATTTTCTAGCATCCTTTACAGGGCAAGGGCCCGCCTTTTGAGTCGCCTGGAGGCGAACCAAGGCTCCCTTGCCAAGCTGATCAGTCTTCGAACTACGGATTCTTAACATTACATGCGCCCTGTCTACAGTTACGTCCTCAAGTAGTAGCCCCCTGGACGCTGCGCGGTCCTCACAAACCACTTCGCCTATGCGTAGGGCGCCAAAAAATGCGAAAGAAAACGCTGCTGAAAATAACCTGGCTTCATATCTTGACCAACACAGGGCCCTCAGCTTCCTACGGATTTGGGTGAGTATATCTAAAGTTATTGGCCTTCTCCTGTCCCGGCCGTGAGGCCTGGACCTGCGCCAGCCCTCAAGCATCTTACGCACAACGAAATGCGAACAGGGATCCACAGAAAATAAAGTTTTAGAAAAGAAGGATATAGCTGCTGAATGAATATTGAGGGTTTTGGGGGCCCGGCCAAGATCTCTAAGGTGGACCATGTACTCTATGACTTCAGACTTGGACGGTGGCCTGCCTGGCTTGGACCGCCCCTTTTTGATGCGGAAGGATGTGAAGTCTAGCCACGCCTTATTATACGATCTCAGGGTAGAAGGCGCTAGCGCAGACAATACTCCCTTTATTGCTTCTCGTTGCCAATATTCCAGAGGTGCTCCGGGAATGGTTGCGGCTGCTGCTGCGCATCCGGCGCCAATGAGCGAAAGCGTTCCATCTGGAAACGAGATAGAGCATCCGCGATGTTATTATCAATACCAGGGACGAACTTGGCTGAAGCGTGAAGGTTCAATCGCAGGCAGGAGAGGACGAAGTACCGTAAAAGGGACGCTACTCTGGGTGAGCGTGACGATTGTTTATTCAAAACTGACACGACCGCTAGATTGTCCGTCCAAAAACAGACCCTATGGTTCTTGAACTGGTCTTCCCATAAGTGAATTGCAACCACGATGGGAAAGAATTCTAAGAATGTCAAGTCACGTAGTATCGGTTTACCTTGCCAGGAGGGAGGCCAGTGCTGGGCACACCACTGGCCCCTGAAGTAGACCCCAAAACCTAAGGACCCGGCCGCATCCGAATGTACCTGGAAATCAGACTGCAGCGCCAAACTATCCTGCCAAAGTGATATGCCATTGAAACCGTCCAGAAATTGCAACCAAACCAGGAGGTCCGCCTTCACTGCCTTGGGAATGCGTACCCTATGATGGGGTGACCGTAAGCCCGTGGACAGCTTTGCCAGGCGGCCGCAGAAAGGGCGACCGGGGGAAATTACACGGCAGGCAAAGTTGAGGTGCCCCAAGAGGGATTGAATTTGTCTCAAGGTGACCTTCTTTAGGGGCAGCATTTGGCCGATAAGCTCTCTTAAGGCAACCACTTTTTCAGCCGGTAAGCGCGAGGTTTGAGCTACGGTGTCAAGTTCAATGCCCAGGTAGGTCATGGTAGTGACCGGACCCTCGGTCTTCTCACCTGCCAGGGGGACCCCAGTTCCCTGGCTAAGGACTCGAAGGCTAGGAGGAGGGACCTACACTCCCCAGCGTCCCTTGCCACCAAAATAAAATCATCGAGATAATGACCCACCCCTAGAGCACCGGTTCTAAACTTTAGGGCCCATTCCAGGAATGTGCTGAAGGTCTCGAACGCAGCACAGGCAATAGAACAACCCATGGGCATAGCTTTGTCAATGAAGTAAGCTCCCTGGAATTTGAAACCCAACCAGCGGTAGTCTTCCTGGTGAACCGGGAGTAGGCGAAATGCTGACTCGATGTCACATTTTGCCAAAAAGGCGCCCCTGCCAAAGCTCCGCACCAACCGCACAGCTTGATCGAATGAAGAATACTTCACCGTGCACATCTCTTGGGGAATGGCGTCGTTAACCGATGTTCCTTTGGGATAGGACAGGTTGTGTATCATTCTAAATTCACCGGGGGCCTTCTTTGGGACAATACCAAGCGGGGAGATATGAAGCCCCTCGATAGGCGGAGTTGCGAATGGACCGGCTACCCTGCCGGCTGTAATCTCCTTCTGTATCTTTTTAAGCGCGATGTCGGGCCTTTCTAAGACTGATTTCTGGTTAGGGGGGGAACTGGAATTGGGTGTAAAAGCAACCGGAATTCTAAAACCTTCAGAAAACCCTTCCTCCAGTAGGTGAGCTGCACGTCTATTTGGATAGAACTTCAAGAGTGCTCTCAATGGCTCCAATTTTATCGGAGAGCACGCGAGGCCTAGGGAGATGTTAGTAACGAGCCCCAGCTGGCCCTTGGGCGGGGGCTGCAGGTCCGGCGGAGCCACCCCTGTTTCCCGGGAGAGGTGACCCCTGCCCCCCCGAAAGGGCTGCTGCCTCCCTTTGAAGCAGTTGACTGCAGGGTGGCTGCCTAAGCACCTATCGCATTCGTGCAGGTACTTACAGGTAACGCGCTGACAGATACCCTTGTTGAAGTCCCAGCACTGCCTACGGCGTTGGGTCTCCACCTTACCAGCTTTTGGCTGATGAGCGGTTTTCTTCTCGATATTGGGCCCCACATGTTCGAACCAGCAATTGTTGTCCTTTTGGTCCCAGCGCGTTGAAGACAGCAGCGAGGCATTCCTCCGAAAGTCTTCATCATACGCCAAAGCAGCTTCATCTCCTGCCTGCTCCCGTGCCCTCCTGACGTGTGCCAGGTAGGACACGAGGTGCGCGCCCCTCTTAGGATAGCAACTTGACACCACAGCCATAAACACCTGATAGCCATTAAGCCAATTCTCAAACGTTCGCTCTACCCGGGGTACCCTGTACCTCCTTTTCCCATAGTACTTAATTTTTCCCCTTTTCCCTTGACCTGAGCTGGGGGCAGCAAGGAAAACATATCTACGTAATTGCCATTCAATATCTTGTTCCTCTTCCTCTTAGAGAGGTGGTTCCCCAGAATAAAGTCAGTGGCAGCGTTGGTTGAGACTTTAACGTCTGGGACCAGAGCCCCATCCTTCCAATCAAGCGTGCCATTAAATGCCTTCCTGTGTGAGTTGGCCCTCCGTTCATGCACCCACTGGGGGGGCTCCAACGTCCCCCCCCACCCCCCAATATGTCTCCATTGGAGTGTCACTATCCCCATCTGATGAAGAGGTACCTGTTTCCTCCTCAGAGTCCGAAGTGTCCCTCTTCTTGCTTTTCTTCGACCGGTGCTTCTTCTTCGCCTTCCGCTTTCCGCCCCGTGGTGCGTCGTCACGGGGGGCCGGGTCGCTGGCAGCGGCCACCTGCTGAGGGGGCAGCTCCTCCTCAGAAGATGACTCCTCCGAGGTGCTTGGTTGTCTAGGGTTATCCTGGAAAACACTGGGAACATCAATCACCTCCTGGCGCGGGGCTGATGTAGAGGCCACCGCCGGCCTGGCCTTTTGTGCGCTCGACCTAGGTTTTTTAGCTGGTGCCTTGCCTTTCAATGGACCTGACTTAGGTTTTTGAGTTTTAGCAGCTTGTAAGCGCGTCCGTGGCCTGCTGGGGGCCTGCTCAACCACGTTAGCTGCACTAGTGGAGGGACCATCCTGACCCTGCTGGCTGGGGGGGGTGTCTGGTATGCAATCTTGTGACACCTCAACGATGTTCGGTGAGGGAGTGATAGGTGCTCTGCACTGCGCGTAGAATGATTGCAGCGCGGAAAAGAGCTGGGCCACGACCTGCGGGTTACATGGGCCTGTTGGCATTAGGGCATTGCCACGCTGAGATTGTTGGGGGTTGCTGTTGCTCTCCATGACCAAGCTGAAAGCAGAGCCTCAGGGGGGTGGGCGCAAGACAAGTGTCTAATATATATATATATATATATATATATATATATATATATATTATTATTATTATTATTTATTTATTTATTTATTTTTATTTATTTATTTATTTATTTATTTTAAACTTTATTTATTTATTTATTTATTTATGTATTATTTGTTTATTTATTTGCTTATATTCGTTTGTTTATTTATATATTTATTTATATCTATATGTATATGTGATTGCTTATTATGCTAAGTTGTAGCCCAGTAAACCAAAGGATAACACAGTAAATTATAAACTGCAGTGAAATAAACCAGAAAAACCTGCTCGCCACACCTAAAATGGCCGCCGGGGCCTCTCGCCACACCTAAAATGGCCGCCCGGACTTCTCGCCACACCTAAAATGGCCGCCGGGACTTTTCGCCACACCTAAGATGGCCGCCGGAGCCTCTCGCTACACCTAAAATGGCCGCCGGAGCCTCTCGCCACACCTAAAATGGCCGCCGCGGCTTCTCGCCACACCTAAAATGGCCGCCGGGGCCTCTCGCCACACCTAAAATGGCCGCCCGGACTTCTCGCCACACCTAAAATGGCCGCCGCTCAGCAAGCCACGTGGCTTTAAAATGGCGCCGGTCGCCTAGCAACGTGGCAACACAGGCTCCCACGTGTACTGCCTGTATTAAAAAGCCAGGTGAGGGTAAACACAGAGGAAAAAATGCCCAGCAAAACCCTCGCAGCAGCAGATAGTACAAAAGTAACCCGTTTAAATTAAATTGCAAAATACCCAACGAAGCCCCCGCGGCAGCAGGAAACACACAAGTAACCCGTTTATAATAAATTGCAAAACACTCAGCAAAGCCCCCGCAGCAGCAGACAATCTTTTTTTTTTTTTTTTTTATACAAAATATATTCCGCCTTTTTCTAATAATCTAATATTGAACTTTTTAACACCATGTCTCCCATCCAATTTGAAACCACCTCAGACCCTGCTTAGCTTTGCAAATGTGCCAGCAGTTTTATTGCTGCACCACCAGGGGGACTACAGGAGAACCAGCTAAATTAACAAGCCATAAAGTAAGATACGACCTGCTGGAAGATACGAAGACTCCGCTTCAAGGAAACACAGTAAAGCCACGTGGGGAGGGTTGTAGCACTGAAAGGGAGGCTGCAGGGAGGCTGCAGGGCTCGATCAGCTGGCAGTCGGGGGCGTCGCTGCTAGCTCCCCTGCTGCATGGGGTTTTTTCCAGCGATGAAGGAGCCGGTGGTGAGTCACGCTGCTGAAGCAACCTAAGAGAATAAGCCCCCCGAGGAACCTGAGCGATTTCTGCCCAATAGCCTTGCTAAGCGCAGGAGGAAACTTCTCCTGTGGTGATTTCAGCTCGAGTAAAAAAAAAAAAAAAAAAAAAAAGGCAAGCGGCAAAAGAACGTTCCGAAAGGCTAAGCTTGCTGGTGCTCCAATAGGGCTTGGAAGAAGGCTCCAGGTTCCACAAGGCTCCGAGGATTCCAGCGAGCGGAAGGATCACCTAAACCAAACCGCGTCGTCTCCAGGGTGAAAAGGGGCAAGCCAGGGCTTCCCCGACCTTAAGTGGCCTTTCTAAGGCCCGCCCCTGCCGCCAGCCAATTGGCTGGCGCCACAGGGGATGCTAATTGTGGGAATCTCTGCCTCCCGCGAGGCTGGCGCCAGCCTCGGGAGAGCGAGAGTGGGCGGGGTCGTGATCCCACAACCCCCCCTCCTCCTGACGATCGGAAGGGGCATTACCTGTCTACAATATTGTTACTATCATCAGCCTAACTTGAACAGGATGTATTTTGTGACCACTGACTCTGCCAATTCTGTACTTAAAGGGGCAGGTATCCACCTGCTCATTAACTTCAACACTGCCACAAAAAAGTCATTGAATGCTATGATTTGAAATCTAACCAATACAATGAAAAGCAAAAGCTGGCCTCACCTCTCCTTAGCTTACCTTAGCTCTCTATGGAACACCCGGGTGCTTTTAATCATTTCAGATTTAATTATTTTTTTCTTATTTCCCATTCAGCCTTCTGGAGCTTTTCTAGCTGAATTGATTACCATAATTGTAATAATTATAGAGAAGATAATTACTTTTGCAATGTTGTTGAACTCTGTATTGCATCACCAGTAGGAGAACGGCCAAAGTAAACATATTTGTCACACTGCAGAATCAAAAGTTAGGAAGAATCCTCCAAGGTCATCTTGTCCTATCTGCTTGCTATTGCAGGACATCCAGAACTGAAAACAAGCCAAGAAAAAGAAAAACACTCTACCTGTAGACAGGCATCCATATTTCACCTAAAAACTTCTCTATCAAAATGTGTTTATAGGTGAGCCAACTGCATCCTTTCCCCATTTGGCTAATTTCCTACTGCTATTGGCCCTGACACTCTCTGACACATGAAACATTAATTCCAGTTGCTACATCTTGGAAACAGAGATGGAAATGTTCCTAACCATATCAGGATATAGAGACTCCGGATAATACAGTCCAGCTACTTTTGAAAGGACATGTATATACCGTTTGAAGCTGAGTGACATGTTTAGGAATATCTCAGACAATGTCAGGGCCTGGCTGGATGAGGAAAAATAGTGGCAGCCAGTAAACCAGGAGGCACCTTAGGGGGAAGGGGACTTTGAACCAGGTTCAAAATGGTGGGACAGAGAGGGATCACCACTGGAGAGTGAAGGTGAAAGGGAGATGATTGAGGTAGCCACAGACACTGACAGAGAAGGAGTAGAGGGTGTCCTGCTCTGCCATACAGAACTGATTCATCTCCTTCCCCTTCCCCATTCTCAGTGCAGGAACAAAGTGTTGAGAAAAGGCTGGAACAATTAAGAATAGAGGTATAAATAGGGGATCAAAGGGGCAGGAATTTGGGGGGCCACTAGGGGCGCATTGGAAGATGGCCGACAATACCATCTCTCCAACCCACACGGGGTAATTAAGAGGCTGTTATGGGAGTAGGCAGCCTCCCTTGTTGCCCCAAGGGAATGGGGAACACTGCCCTTGCCTGCTGTGCCCATAAATCACCCCCAAATTCGAAAGAAGGGGGTGAGGGCACTAGGCAGAATGCCCCCGTGTGGACCTCGGCTCTCCTGGACGCTGTCTCTGATCACGCACTAGCTGCAGCAATTTGGAATAATTAATTACAAAAGAAGCAAATGCACATATTTCAAGTGAAGAAGGGGAGTGAAGTCTGCTAATTTACGGGACCTCTGCGAAAGAAGACGACGGGTTGGAGCAACAGGAATATTTTACGATGAAGATACACCAAAGGCTGGGTATGTCAGCAACGAGACTGAATGGGGGGGACCTTTTTTACTTTCCTTCTATGTGATTTACCAAGAACCCCTCCTCATTAGAAACGTCGGTTTAACTGACCCAAACAGGATGATTAAGGTCTGTGTGGAGATAAACTTTAACCAAAAGTATGCTTTATGGAGATCGAGAAGCAATAAGAGCTTTTGGAATGGTGCAGCAATTAATTCAGAGTCACCATCTTGCCAAAGGATTTATAGCCGGGAGGAGGAACGGACTTGTTTTCAGACTGCATTCCTGGTGAATCTCCTCAGAGGTTTGAGAAAGGAGGCAGATTGGTAAAGATTAATGACGCTAAGACTGTTTTGATGTATGTTATATGGTGAAGTGATGTTATATGGAAAACATTTGGATATGGCTACTGGATAAAATAATAATAATATCCACGCAGGATTACAAACTGTTTTAACCAGCTTGTGGAGACTATCAGAGGTCACAAGGAGAAAGGAAAAATATATGAAAATAACAACAAGAGATGTGAAAAAACAATAAGAAAGTACTGGATAGTACAGTGAACATCATATGGTTAGATTTGTGGACATTAAAACAGCAGCAAGAAGCAAGAAGTTGATTGGATCCCCTTCAGAACTTGAAATATGGGTACCCCCAACAAAAATTTAAAATTCGGCTGTGTAATTTGGAATTTATGTAATCTGGTTTGATTTGATGTGATTGGTCGGTTAATAAAAAATTATTCTGAAAGGGGCAGGAATTTAATTTCTACAACTGACCTGCTTAGCTCATGGATGTGCCATGTGATGTCTCCTTGGTTACTGAGCTATGAAGTTGATTACTCTCAAGCCCTGACTTTTTCTGCTTACAGCATTGAACCACAAATGGAAGGGCTTTTCTGGCAGCCTGACAAGAGGCTTTTGAGTCCATGGGTCGCTTCTCCAACTACATTCTTTCTGTGGTACCCCTGTGAGGCTCAGGACCCCAGTTATGTTACCCCTTGCCTGCAGAGCTGGCAGCCTCCCACCTTTTTTTTAAACACCGACCCTTGTGGTGTTTTCCCTCAGCCTCCTCTCCTCTGCCCTCTCCTTGGGAGTCCTCCAGGAAGCTGATGCTGCTGACCCTGGTTTCTGAGCTGCCCCCTTACCCCAAACAGGGGTACCTCCTAACACAGCCCTACTGCTGGGAAGCACCGTCTGGCCAGTCCAAGAGACACCATTCATCTGGAGAGCATGTAGCCAAGGCTGTGGAAACTTTTGGGAGACCGAGTCACAAGAGGGCATGAGAGGAGGGAGGGAAGGAAAGGGGAACAGAGGCCAGTGTTGTCCGTGGTACCCCTGACCATCATTCAAGGCACCCCAGTGTAAGGCACTGAGAGGCACTGTTATGCCGTCCAGATGTTTTTGGTCTACAGCTTCCATCATCCATGACAGCAATGGTCTGTTGTAAGCTGGTGGGAGCTGCATTCAGCAACATCTGGAGGGCCACAGATTGATGACCACTGGTGCAAATAAGAGTGGGGTGTAGAATAAGGCTCCATTGCTAGGATGATATTGATCCACTAGGGGTATGTTAGGTATTAGAGACCTCTGAATCTGGAGCAGTCTCTACATATGGCAAGGTGAGTCACTTCCTGGCTCCCTGCACAGTCTTATGTTGATTGAGTTAAGAGATTCCAGAAATGTAGAAATCCAGGTTTATACTGGGAATTCTAAAATTGGTTAGAGGTGTCTTTTTGTGCCTGGAATTTCTAGTGGAATGCTCATATGATTTTCATTTTGGAGCACTTTTAAATGTTCTGCTGCCACATATAATGAACATCGTAAATGAATACATACATAAATGTAGACTCCTCAAAATGAATCACACAAAACAAGACCCATGATTTAATAGAATTACTGTTACCATGAAATTGTCACTTTCCATTCATTTCTTAAAATAATCTGTACATGTAGGGGAATGGTTGGGTTGGTAATGAACATAGAGTCATTTCTTGATTGGCTTCCTTGAGGTGTGATGACACAAGCTGGAAACTGAATCTTGAGAGTGGCAGTGGGCAAGCAATCTTTGGCCGTTACTACTGGATTCTTACCTTCTTCATCCTTACCTAAACATAAAGTATCTTTACTGCCTGGCTCCCTTCATTTACTTGCACAAACTTTTTGCCATGGCTCAGCCTCTTTGCTACTGCAGTTAGGCATCTAGTGAAGACAAAGTATCTCAGATCCAGTCTTCTGCAATTTTATGGCTGTCTAACATGAACTTGATAGACGGTCACCCAAAATAGGGACAATATGGCTTGGGGCATGGTCAAATCTGGAGCACAGCCCTGCTGGATAGACTCATGGACTCATTATAAGACAGCTTCTCAAATTTTTGTGTTCCTTTTCATCTCTTCTCTCTGTACCCCATCACCTCCTCCTCAGGAGAGGTTCAGGGCCTCTTGGGGGGCATTTCTTTGGATGCAGGAGAAGAAGAGAAACAGAATGTATAGGCATTCAAAGTTTTTGCATATAATCCATGGTTTCTTAAATAAACATAATCCCGTTTCATTTGCAGCTCATATGCAGCTATGCTGGATATCAACAACATAGATGATAACACCAGTGATCCCCCCCCCCCGAGGGGACACAGGGAGATGCATAACCCTAAACGTTTTGTGAATCTAAGTTTGGCCTCATTAAGGGGCAGAGTAGGAAAATGAGAGTACCACTAAACATTTTCTCTCCTTTTTATAAAATAAGCACTGGATAAGACAATTCTCTTCTGCTATTTTCATCATTTCATTTAACTTCCCTTCTTGAAAAAACACACAGTGAAATTACCATGCCAACAAGTCTACAGAGTCTAAATACAGAAACGACAAACTATACTGTTATTTACGTCTTTCTCCGTATCAGCTGCTCTCTGTTATTCAGCTCAGGCCTCACCACAATAATGTAGCATTTAGGGGAAAGATGCAACCCAGCAGCCCAGCACTGGAAGCCAAGATGGAGAAGATCTCCACAGCCACCATGTATTTTCCTCTGGTGCTTAAGTATGTGGGAATAAAGGAGAACCAAACACTGCAGAAGACCAGCATGCTGAAGGTGATGAACTTGGCTTCATTGAAGCTGTCCGGCAACTTCCTGGCTAAGAAGGCCACAGTGAAGCTGATAATGGCCAGGAAGCCCATGTAGCCTAAAACAGCATAGAACATTAGAACTGACCCCTCATTACATAAGAATATAATTTCTTCAGTCATTGAGTGCATGTCCACATCTGGGAATGGGGCAGAGGTTGCCAGCCAGAAGGCACAGATTCCGACTTGAATCACAGAGCAGGAAAGGACGATGGAGTAAGCCAGTTTTTTGCCTACCCACTTCCTGATTGTGGAATCTGGCTTGGTAGCCATGAATGCCAAAACCACTGAAATAGTCTTGGCCAAGATGCTGGAGAGGGCCACAGAGAAGACGATGCCAAAACTTGTTTGTCGGAGAAGGCAGATTGGCTCCTTAGGAGTTCCAATGAACATCAAAGTGCAGAGGAAACACAAGAGAAGGGACACAAGGAGAATGTAAGTGAGGCTTCTGTTGTTGGCTTTGACGATGGCAGTGTCCCGGTGCTTAATGAAAATGCCAAGTACCATTGCTGTGATTAGAGAGAATAAAAGTGCAGAGAAAGTTGAAACAATGGCCAAAGTTTCCCCAAAGCCTAGGACGTGTGGTTTCTTGGGAATGCACTGATTCTGCTCTTCATTTGGATATTGCTCTGGAGGACATCTGGCACAGGTTTCCAATCCTGAAAAAGGTGGTATGGCAATTGGAAACAATCCAGTATATGCTTAAGAGTTTTTTTTTAAATCATGAGTTCCCTTACCATAGTGTTTCCACGAGGATAAGTTTCAAAACTTCTAGTCAAAATGCTTGTGCCCTAGAATCTTTGAAGATGAAGTTCCCAAGGAACCTTGTTCTTAGAATAAAGACCCCAATTCTTTTGCATCCTGCCTCCCCCAAAACCTTGGTTTCTTCCAGGGCAGAATGCATGTACAATTTTTATGTCTTTTTGCATAAGGGCGGATCTTTTTATGTCTTTTGCAGAGGGGCGGATCTACACTCATGGTGTATATCATTAAAATGTGTTATTAAAATGTGGCAGCACAGCAGTGAGCCACCATCAATGAGAAACTGCATTAAACATTAGAGAATATTACCTAACAACAATGGAGACTAGTGCTAATACACCCAGGAACCTCAGCAAAATGCTGGAGAGGGTGCACCTCCACAGGCACATACCTACACATGTGGTGGGAATGCCCCAAAATCCAACTATTCTGGACAACAGCCATACACGAAATGTAAAATAACTAAGCAAGTATTAGAAACCACCCCAGAACTGCCCCTACTAATCATATTCCAAGACAACAATGCCCACTCGCATCACAAAGAACTCATAACCCACCTACTCTCAGCAACCACAAACATCATAGTCAGACACTGGAAAGACCTGTCAGGAGTAAGTATGGACCAATTGTACCAAATAGTATGCGAAACAGCGCTACTAGAAAAATTAACCAATAAACTGAAAGTGACACGATGGCAAATAGAAGAAGATACCTTTATCACATACACAGCCCAACAAGACAATGACAAGAATCCACCAACAGCATATGAATCAATATGGTTACCTGATCCAAAACACCCATCTACCCCCATTCACACACGAAAACAAAGTTCACCACAAGCAACCACAAGCAAGCAACTGCACCCTAGGCCAACCCCAATCTCTCTCACCACCAAAGGAACACATGCGAATAGCAAAGAGCACCTGCACAATCTACGCTGACACAAAACCCCACACATACATTAAGCAAAATAGAAATATCGCCTCCCGACCCCACCCCCACGCACCATGGCCCCCTCCACCTCTTCCCCCCTTTTCTCTTCCTAATGTAACCCTAATGTCTCAACAAATGAACTGACCTATGGAAAATGTAACTTGAAAAAAAGAGACACTGCATATACCTTTGTAAACCAAGAAAACTTTAATAATAATATATATTTTTTAAAAAATTAGAGAATATTGTATGCAGTAATGTTTAGAATGGGACGCGGGTGGCGCTGTGGGTTAAATCACAGAGCTTAGGACTTGCCAAGCAGAACGTCGGCGCTTCGAATCCCGTGATGGGGTGAGCTCCTGTTGCTCGGTCCCTGCTCCTGCCAACCTAGCAGTTCGAAAGCACGTCAAAGTGCAAGTAGATAAATAGGTACTGCTCCGGCGGGAAGGTAAAGGGCGTTTCCATGCGCTGCTCTGGTTCGCCAGAGTCATGCTGGACACATGACCCTGAAGCTGTACGCCGGCTCCCTCGGCCAATAAAGTGAGATGAGCGCCGCAACCCCAGAGTCGGCCACGACTGGACCTAATGGTCAGGGGTCCCTTTACCTTTACTTGTCATGTTTAGAATATCAATGTATGTAGGTACACTGATGGAAAATCTTTACATTACAGATTACGGTCACATCCTCATGGTATACTCTCTTGAAGGTTAAGATAATTTCTTCATAGTGGCAGCTTTTACACAGACAGAAGGGAGATTATTCTACTACAGTGGTACCTCGGGTTAATTACTTAATTTGTTCCGGAGGTCCGTTCTTAACCTGAAACTGTTCTTAACCTGAAGCACCACTTTAGCTAATGAGGCCTCCTGCTGCTGCTGCCACGCCGCTGGAGCACAATTTCTGTTCTCATCCTGAAGCAAAGTTCTTAACCCAAGGTACTATTTCTGGGTTAGCGGAGTCTGTAACCTGAAGCGTATGTAACCTGAAGCGTATGTAACCCAAGGTACCACTGTATTGTTAATAAACAATATAAATTGAGACCATACAGAGCAAACCTCATTGCCAATTTGCTCAGAATTTCCTAAAATAGCTTGTATATGGTAATATGGCATCTCTCACCCTTCTCATTTGAGAACATCCCACGAGGACATGGATCACAATCATAACAACAGAACTTCTTCCCCTCCTTCTTTTTCTTCTCATAACCGGGAAGGCAGTTGGCATTACATAATGAAAGGGGTGGCACCTATCCAAAGAGACACAAAGAGGTTAATATTAAGACAATATTTTAGGGGATTCATGTAACATCAGGTGATCTACCAGTAAGTAGGAGGGCCAGAAATGTTAGCTATAGGTTTTCTATGTGCCAAAGCAGCACATACACAGTGGGAGAAAAGTTATAGTTCTAAGCATCATACAAACACAAGAAGATTACAATGTTCATATCTAGATTGACCATTGCTACAACAATCAGATAATTTAATCTAATACACTACTGGTTATTTCTTTTTATGGTACTACAGCCTCCTGCTCTTTGCTGCTGTAATTTCACTTGATGTCCCCTTAGTGAGCTTCAAGGAGTTGGGATTTGGAGGTAGTGAATTACTGTGGTTTTGCTCCTATTTGGACAGCCCTATCACTTATACCTTTGGAAAAAAGAGAGGCAGCGAAAATGGTGCACAGAAAATGTAGGTACACTGATGGAAAATGTATTGGGGTTGTGGTGGACTGGTTTTAGAAAACCAACTTCATAAAAAGCAGGGAACTACAATAAAATGTGTACATAAAATAAGTTGCGACTTTTTCAAAAAGAAATATTTCCAACATTTTTCCAATGACCTTTTTAAAAAATATATGATTTTGTAGGCAACTAGTGCTGACAAGCCTTGGATTGAATAAATCAGAAACATGAGGCATTGAGAGGAGCCTGCATGCCTTGTCCACAGCTGATGGAGTATATGGAGTTACTAGCAGCCGGGCTAGTAACCACTCCGAGCAAGGCATGATTTGGGGGGCTCCCCCTGGGCCTGGCCCTGTGGCAGGAGCCAACCTGACACACAATTACGTACATCCCGGCTTCTAGCATTCCAACTCGACACTAGAGTTACAAGAGGCACCAGAAGATTTCAATGTTAGCAATCTGTTTAATGCTACTAACTGGAAAACCGCCTTGGACCAACAAGCATGTTGGACAACACTGTCTGAAAGCCATTGGTCCTTCTTGGTGTGACATGTCTTCTGTGCATATTGCTCTTTTTGATTATGTGGTTCATTTGTTATTAATAAAATTATTAGTAGCAGCATTATTACTAGTGGCAGCAGCAGTTGGGCAGCACCTCCCCCCACAGTGATTTCCTTACCTGAGTGAAGACTCTGTGCCATTGGATTCCGTTCCCATTAATGATGAGTTCTTTGCCAGGAGGGGCCTGAGGATCCAGCTTTCCGACTTTGACCCTGACGTAGGAATTATTTGGGAAAGTGACCAGGTTTGCAATATCAAAGCCAGCTGCTATTTCTCCATGTTCATTTAATGTGATTTCATCCCCAGCACTGTTGTTGAATGAGATCCTTTGTAGCAATGAGTGGACCTAGGTGGAAAGAGAATCAGAAGGCCTAGAAAATGTTGTAATAGTCTTAAATCCCAGAAGGATTTAAGTTATTTTTCTACAAGAGTTATCCACTTCAAACAATCTTTTTTTATTACCATCGTAGACGAGCATAAGTAGGGTGGGGTACTGTCATTTAAAATCTGTAAAATGGTTTGGAAAGCTAAAAAGTATTTAAACAGAAGGTACCGTATTTTTCCATGTATAAGACGATGCTCGTCTTATATGCGGATAGGCATATGCCCATGCACCCACAAATTGTTCAATGAGGGGGTCAGACCCCCCTCAATATTCTGCAGCCAGAAGGACTCTGGTGGGCCCGCCTGCTACAGCAGTGGGCTCCTATGGAGCAGTGGGAAGGGGCGATGAAGCCCCTTATAGACTCTGAAGGCCATTAGGAGATACCCTAAAAAGGCCTCTGAAAAGCCCGGAGGGGGCAGCTGCGGCTCCTCCCAGTGTGTGACAACACATGGAGCATGTGACATCACACATGTGCATGGGACACCCACAATGTGGGGAGGAACATGGTGCAGGTGGCCCCAAGCGTCATTTTTGACAGCTTCAGATACATTCCACTTGGCCAATTGATGCCATTAACCTCATACAACAAGTTGTCTAATTCAGTGGTTCACTATTAGAGGTCTGGGGACCCCAGAGTTTCCACAGAACACACCCAGGGGGTCTGCAGTACCATCCCCTGCTGGGGTACTCACTTTTCTTGTTAATTGCACAGGGAAAACCTTCCACGGATCATTCAGCCTCTGCTTGCGGCCAATTCCTGCTTTCTGGCAGGGGAAAACTTGTGAAAGAGTCGCTGGATGGCAAGCGAGGTGGGATTTGGGGAAAACCTTGGACACATTTTCTTAGTGCTCTTTAAATTGGAGAGTGGGAGGAAGAAAAAGTTTTGTAGTTCTTTATCTCCTTGACCTCTGAAGGGCAGGTGTTACCCAGGGAAGGCGTCACTACCAAGAAGGCCCTCTGCCTGTTTCCTACTTAGATAGATGATAGATAGATAGATGATATAGATAGATAGATTGATAGATGATAGATAGCTAGAGCTAGATATATGGATAAAGGTTTCGAAGCTGCTAGAAATGTCAACATTTGTTCATTTGTACTATGCTTTAATAAAACTGAATTGGTCTCTGCTCCAACTAAATCTTTGTCATTTTTGCATGGTAAAATCACAAATTTCATGGTCTGCTTTTAGTAGACTAAATATCCTCTGCTTATTTGGGGCTACCCCACATTTTCTTCGAAAAATTGCTTTGCTACCTTACGGTTATCAAAATTTTCAAAAGCAGGGGTTCCATGGTTTAGCTCTTGAAAAATAGTGGAAACTCAGTAATTAGCTAATTAGGAACGACTGGTCTAATTAAATGCCAGTTGAAATACTGGAACAGTGCCAGTTCTAAATGTTTAAATAGCAGCGTATTTTTAGAACAATTATTAACCTTTCAAGTAGTTGCTGCTATTCTGTCACTTATGACAGTCTGTGTAATCTAAAGTCTGTTTAGTGTAATTGTAGGAAATAAAATATTTTAAGGTTAATCTTTCATGTATATATTACTTTCAGTTATTTACTTATAGATGAATACCAACTCACAATATATATCAGTACAGCACACAACACTGAATACTTTGCAAGGTGAACACTTTATAAGAGGAAACGTTACCTGCCAAGGCTCTATAGTCTGAGAAGAGAGTCTGTCTCCACCCTTTATCCTTTTGCTGATGGCTTCAGAGGAGTACCTAATATGTAAGGCGTGTGCCAGAGCATAGACAGCATTATAGATACTGTAGCTGTGACCGGTCATGCTCATTTCAAAATATGGTGCAGGAAGGCTCTCCAGCATCTCCTCTCCAGTACATATGTCTGCTGACCCAGTGGAATTTGAAAGTGAACACATGAATGCTTGTTCCCAGAAATCGTTGGTAAAACCATCCGCATCTGCCCAGGAAGGCTTTACATTCCTCAGAAAGTCTGAGAAGTCTTGAATGTCCTTGGAGTGAATGGCAAAGGAGAACGCACCATGGCATATTTGTATATTTATTTCAAAAGGTTTTTAAAAAAAGCTAATGAGAAATCAATTTGGGCAGTTGTAATCCATACTTTTCCTACATGTTGCTTCCTCTTAGATGGAGGCAATAGCAGCTGAATCATATTCCTTGCCTCTATAGCAATAGTTACCCACAAAATAGATTCTCCATATATAACAACCACATTTGCTTTGCTTGATATGAAAGCTGGGGTCAAAATCCCTGTGTCATCCAGCATATCCAGTATGTTACCAGTGAAATGCGGAAGTTCTTCATTTTTATCTGTGAATTCTGAACAGATTCCATTCTGGAAAAGCATTGGTTCAATGATCTGCAAGAAATGTTCTCCAGCTTCATTATTTGGAGTGATGAGCCCGACCCATTTCCATCCAAAATGCAGAAGTAACTGGATAATTCCCTTGTACTGAAGATCTTCATTGGGGACCATGCGGTAGAAGAAACCACGTTTGATTTGATCATTTGTGGCTGGTTCAAATGAACCATATGAAATCTGAAAAGGAAAAAGTCAAACCTTTCCATGTGAAAACAAAAATTCAAAACACACACATTTATCTGAGTATAAATTCTGTATATCCCATATTTACTAATCTTCGCCATGGCGAACCCCCATTTACATAGAAAATATATTTCTCAAAAACCAAACAAACAATATTTCTCATTTAATTTTGTAGATATTAGTTCCTATTTTTATGGGAGTCATCACAGCTGCATACTGGTACACACAGCTTCTCTCCAGGAACAGGAGAGTTTTGATCCTTGCACTGCCTTCAACAATACTCTAAAGTGGACCAGGAGAAATACAAGCAATTGATCAGGATCTTTTTGTCTATAATCTTTAAAACACTTGTAGAGAGAGGTTGATGGCATTTCTCCTAAGAACTCTTGTGGGAGGATCTCCTGGAACTCCTGTACGTATCCTGCATATTGTACATTTTATTTTTTTTGACCACAGTAAACCATATCCCATAAAAGTAAAATACCAGCAAAAATTAAGGCAACTAATACGAAGTCTAGTAATGCAGCAGACAAACACCATATGGTAACACTATACCCCTCCCCAAAGGCCTCAAAAATAACAAGAAATTTGTTTTCGATTAGCCTCTGAAAATGGACAGTACTAAACATCATCATATGTATACAGGGAGGGGATTTTATGATTCCTAGGGTGAGAGACATTGTTGTCTCAAGTTATTTATGGCTTTGTAAGCCAGCTTCAGGGGGACGCGGGTGGCGCTGTGGTCTAAACCACTGAGCCTCTTGGGCTTGCCGATCAGAAGGCCAGTGGTTCGAATCCCCGCGACGGGGTGAGCTCCAGTTGTTTGGTCCCAGCTCCTGCCAACCCAGCAGTTCGAAAGCATGCCAAAAAGTGCAAGTAGATAGATAGGTACTGCTCCAGCGGGAAGGTAAAGGGTGTTTCCGTGCACTGCTCTGGTTTCGCCAGAAGCGGCTTAGTCATGGTGGCCACATGACCCGGAAACACTGTCTGTGGACAAACGCCGGCTCCCTCGGCCTGTAAAGCGAGATGAGCGCCGCAACCCCAGAGTCGTCTGTGACTGGACTTAACTGTCAGGGGTCCTCTACCTTTACCTTTTTTTTAAAAGCAAGCTTCATAACTATGAATTGGGACTGGTATACCTCTCATTCAGCTAGGGCATTGCTTTTAGGAATGATGTAATGTGAACCGATCAAGATACCCCATTTATCAAACTGGAATATTCGAACAATTTTCCATAAAATATACTGTACACACATTCTATAGAACCTGGATCATTTCATGTACATTGTTGAGTACTAATATTATAGACCCCAAAATATATCCATATATGGCAATCCATTTCCTTTCTCCATTTTACCACTTCATATTGATGTATCAACAGATTCCTATTTGAAGGAGAAAAGAGTGAATTATAATATGAAATAACAATTTTTCAATACCCATATTCTACCTGTGGAATCTTGTAAAGACCTAAGATATCTGCCATGGATGAGGAGGTTTCAGAGCTAAGTCCCCCAATGACTCCTACTACATTTTTCTGAATGCCACACATGTAGTTGGGGACAAAGTGATGTGATTTAAAGAGCAGATCCAGAGTGGTTCGGTAGGCCATCTTTGAATCAGAATAGCTGTCATAGATGTGGAATCCAAGAGTGACATTGGGCAAGATCTTGGGATTCTCATTGATCTCATCAGCAGCAAACACCAAGGCAAGGAGGTGTTGGTAGGACTTGGTCGTCACTCTGCAAACAAAGTGCCTTATTATTTTATGGGCAATTAAACAGTGCACAACACCTAGATCTGAGGGATACAACTGCCTCAATTAAATTGTGTTGGAAATATAGAAATTGTTTTCTGCCTTTAGAGCTAATGTTTGGATCTCTGTTCCATCCGAAACAGATTTTTTTTACTTTTCTGAACACATAGATTGAGAAGTGATCTTCACTTGTTTTTTCAACCACGCCGCTTTTTATCACTAGCAATATGCACCGTTATTGACATCATTACTAAACCCCTTTTGTCGGTTGTTGTCCATAGCAAAACTAACTGGTATGAAATGAAAATAAAGAAATTTAGATATAGCTATATGGGATTGACTGGCAGTGCAGACTTTGGTACTATGGCACTCTGGGCAAGGCCAAAATTTTGCACCCACTTGGCCCTTCCTAAAGGTGGGTAAAGCTGTGCCAGGCTTAAGGAAGGAGGCACAAGGCTCGCTTGGGTAGGATCCAAGAACCCCCCTCCCCCCCGGTTCCCAAAGCTGGGGAAGTGCTAACTAGGCTTTGGGAAGGAAGCAGGAGGACTCCAGGACCTCGTCAGAGCCCATGACTCCTTCCCAAAGCCAAATGCCTTGCTTACCAGGTTAGGTTACAGCAATCCAATGGCTCTGTGTCCAATGTGTGCACACTGCTCGCAGATCTTAAACATCACCCTTGTGACTACTGAGGTCTAGCGAGTGATCTTTGCTTCACTGGAGGATAGAGAGATACCATGTATCTTGAAGCAGGTTATAAAATAGTCTTATAAAATCTTATTATTGGCTTTAATCTTCCATTGGGTTTCAAAGCAAACCAAGTGCTTTATAGTCAGATATAATTGTAGAAAGAATAAATGAAATGATCTTAAGAGCCCTTTACTTACACTGGGCTGTTAATAAAGGCCCGAGATGGGTGTTCATGGAAGGAGATGCTGGGCAATAGGTAATAGATATGAGACATTATCCCACCAATGATAAGGTCACCTTGTTCATACCATTCATGTGGAATATGCACAGGATTATTTCTGCTGCAACCAACAGTGGTCACTTTGGGCACCATATTGGGAAGCAGCAGGAGAAGCAGCAGCAGCAGCAGCAGCAACATCCTCATCACAACTATCTTTCTACACATGGA